CCAATAACATCATCGCAAAACTTCATTAGTTAGCCGTCAAATTTTTCTACGTCATCAGTATCCATGGACAGGAATCAACGCGCCGTCAAAAGTTGCTCAGAAAATAATTTATATGAATATCGTTATTTTGACGACTAAAAGCCGCTAAGTCTGGTGGAATCGGTATACTATTGATATGTGTCTAGCAAAAGTAATTGTATTATGAACAGTCAGCCAAAATATCAGCAGCAGACGTAGGTCTATCGAGCGTTGATGTCTAAAAAAATATTAACATAAGAGAAACTAACTGAATTTTAACCAATTCTAGATTTCTGTTACTAATTCAAAAATTAGTATTTTAATATTAATAATTGAATTAATATTAAAACCTAATGATATTAAGTTTCAATATTTCTCGCGTATCTTTCGATATTTTGTTCTGATTTTACTTACGTTCTATGTATTATTGAACTGATAATGGCGCTGGTCTCCGAGACGATCTCTCACTCGTGCACACGTAAATACCAAAAATACAATTTTTGGTATTTTTTTAGCTTTCAAATTCTTGAAAATGAAAGAATACAAAAGACGAAATTTGGCAATGTGACACGTCTTCTATTAGATTGAACTGACAATCTAATAATTGTGTCTAGTGAGGTTCCTTTCGTCAATTAATAAATAGATAGAATATAACCTAATTATTTATTAATTTCAAAAGTCTCCAGTCTAGAATTTATTTCGCAAAGCATTCTTCATACACAACATAACATAACATAGTGATGTCGGCGCTGATGAGTAGGCCTGATGTGGCCTGTCTCCGATTCATGTACTTTTTGTGACTTGTTCACAGAAGATCTAAAATCGTGTCATTTGACCGGATATTTTCCAAACTGATAATAGTTTAAATAGCTACTACAATTCCACTGGGTTCGATATGGTGCTAGGCATTTCAAGTCTGAACATATATTTTACCATAACTTTATCTAGTCTGTTATTGAACTCGTTCATACTCGGAGCGCCAATGATGTAATCGGGGAGGCTGTTCCACATGTCGGTGATTCGAAGCGAGATGAAATGTCCTGAATATAGGTGTTTCATGGACGCAACCTACATTAATTTTAATAATGGCTTGATAATAATGTGCACAAGTGGCTTGATGTGTGACATTATGAAATTCTTATTATGAATGTGAACGAACTTCGGATTATGTACTGCAAATTAAAATATAGGAAGTACAGGAAGTCAACATTAGATTTCGTTGCATGAATTCAACATGAGAAGTTACAACGAAAGATCACGGCCAAATTTTTTACATTGATACTGAAATGTGTTCAATTCAAAGCAGGACAAATCTGAATGTAACATTATCGCAAAACTTTGCTAGTTAGCCATCAAATTTTTCTACGTCATCAGTATCCATGGACAGGTGTCGAAACGCGATGGTTTCGCACCGAAGTGAAATATTGAAAATTATCGGTGTTATAAATTTTGAAGGCTGAGAAGCCCTAGGTTCTGATAGAATATGTGTGGCGAAACTTTATTATAGTTTAGAGCTTAACGCATATGTTGTTATAATCAGTAGTATTCATCATCAACAGCGCACNACGACTGTGGTATGCTTACCATCGGCGGGTGTGGTACGACTGCCACGTGTGACTGGCTTGATCACAAAAGGGCGGGAAACAAGCATAGGTCATGCAGTGCTATGTAACGTCTCCCGCGTATGTCTGTATGTACATACATACATCACTGGTCATTTATGTAATGTATGTATGTCTGTATCTATCTATATATGTATCTATTAGTATAGGCTGGCAAAATTTGTTCCTTTAAGCAGGTTTCATTGAAGACCAGAGAATTTGTTTTATTAGCAATTTTCTTATTAGATTTTTCAATAAATCGAACAATATTTTTCGTTTGCACTGGTAAATCGAAAATCAGCATAGGTACCGATGGACATTTTTATTTCTTTAACAACGTTTCAAATGTATTAATCATTCATTATCAAGTTAAAAGTGCAAACGAAAAATATTGTTCGATCTATTGAAAACACTAATAAGAAAATTGCCAAAAAAGAATTCTCTGGTCTTCAATGAACTATGTATGTATCTACACTATCTATGTATGTATCATAATGTATGTATTTATCTACTTGCAAGAAAGAGAAGACAGTACAATGGAGCCCGGTCAAGCGTCCCTAACGCGTCACGATGTAATGTAAACAATCCGACCAAGAGTACTAGTAGAGTAAACTTTTACAATTATGCTAAAAAATGTGTTGGTAAAGCATTTAAAGTGAAACAATAAATTAAATAAGGTTGCTGAAGATTTTATTTCACACTGTTGCCAGTCATGGTTGAACTATAAAAGGTTAACCCACGAAAAGTTCCGCCTTGTAGTGCGTCTTTCTAGTGACGTCATTTCGATCGTAAACGTAAACAAACCCTTGCACACTCGTGCACACTCGTGCACACCACTCGTGCACACTCGTGCACATTCGTTCAAACTCGTGCACACTCGTGCACACTCGTGCACACTCGTGCACACTCGTGCACACTCGTGCACACTCGTGCACACTCGTGCACACCACTCGTGCACACTCGTGCACACTCGTGCACACTCGTGCACACTCGTGCACACTGGTGCACACTCGTACACACTCGTGCACACTCGTGCACACTCGTGCACACCACTCGTGCACACTCGTGCACACTCGTGCACACTGTTCAAAAGTGTTAAAGTGTTCAAAAGTGTTAAAAAGTGTTCAAAAGAGTTCAAAAGTGTTCAAAAGTGTTCAAAAGTGTTCAAAAGTGTTCAAAAGTGTTCAAAAGTGTTCAAAAGTGTTCAAAAGTNGAGCCCCTGTCTCTTATACACATCTAGATGTGTATAAGAGACAACTCGTGCACACTCGTGCACACTCGTGCACACCACACGTGCACACTCGTGCACACTTGTGCCCACTCGTGCACACTCGTGCACACTCATGCACACTCGTGCACACGCGTGCACACTCGTGCACACTCGTGCACACTCTTGCACAATCGTGCACCCTCGTGCACACCACTCGTGCACACTACTCGTGCACACTCGTGCACACGCGTGCACACTCGTGCACACGCGTGCACACTCATGCCCACCACTTGTGCACACTCGTGCACACTTGTGCACACTCGTGCACAATCGTGCACACTCATGCACGTTCGTGCACACTCGTGCACACTCTATTGGCGTACAGCGATGGCAATGGTACCATTGGAAAGAGCTGAATTCCATCTTTCAGACGAGCACAAAAACCGAAAAACGCCAAAATTGGAAATTTTAGGGTAGCCGATCCCCTTAATACATGGAAAAAAGTCATCGAGAAGTAATTTGTTTACCTCACAACTGAGAACAATTTAATGCCTCTGCAGATATACAAAGCAAGTCACACGATGTCTGCTAAAGTTCTGATATAGAATGTGATTTCAAAAATAATGTGACCAATGTGAATAATAATGATACAGTGATAAACTGACCCTCAAGACTTACGTAACAAAACGGTCATGCTATCAAAAGTAAGTATATTTGATATATAATATATATCATAAGAATATATTATATATCAAAAGTAAGTAAGTATAAATATGGTTTCTTTGCAGCGCCCATCAATTGTCCGGACATCGCGATGCTCGCTATAGGACTAGTTTAAGCTAGACGGCCATTCAAAATATTAACANGCATGAGAGATGGTAACATCCCTCACACGAAGAACAACTAACTGTCCTCTTCCTGTTGTTAACAGTCGAGCAACTCAGGCACCCGCGTCCTCTCCCCTCCATCCCTCGGCCGTTTCCATAAGGTTAGGCGAAGACCAAGACGGAACGGCTGCTGTGGCTACAATCAAAATTACGCTTATGCTAGATCGGATACAACGTGCAACAAGTCAAGCAAGTGGCACGCTGCAAAAGAGTAACGAGCACACTCAGTAGAAAGACGTGTCAATAATAAAATCGCCGCGTCAGCAAAAACGAGACGAGAGAATGGGAGCAACGCACGTGCGAGGCTACAGAGCAAACAACAAGCAATCGAAGAGCTCTTAGGCACCACACAACCTGCTCTCGTGGATGCTCAGTTAACACTCGTGCACACTCGTGCACACTCGTGCACACTCGTGCACACTCGTGCATACTTGTGCACACTCGTGCACACTCGTGCACACTCTTGCACACTCGTGCACACGCGTGCACACCACTTGTGCACACTCGTGCACACTCGTGCACACTCGTGCACATGCGTGCTCACTCGTGCACACCACTCGTGCACACCACTCGTGCACACATTCATTTGCCTTGAGTGGCGGGAAAATGATGCGTTGTGAAAAAAAAGTCGCGCTAATCAAAACTGGCACCGCGTAGATTAAGGGTAGGTCGCAAATTTTGTTCCGCGGTATTCAAAACCATGCTAATCAAGGGATTGCTGTATATACTATATAAATATACTTTACTCAATTAAGCTAATTTAGGTCTCTAATTTTTTTAACCTATTAGATATGCAAACTTTTGAAATCTTTCTATTGTGTTATGTAGCCTCAGTATTAGGCCTTTCATGGCCATTGACAAAATTTTTCTATGTCAAATCGTTTTTGAGTTTTGGGGGTTTTTGTTAAAAAAACGAAAGGTGGTCAAAGTTACCCCGCCGGTCACAGTAATCCCATTTTACAGTACTAGGCTTGTGTACTAGTACTCATAGTTATACTTATAAGAGCTAATGCATGTGCACAGTATTAGAAAAAAAATGTCTAGTATGCCTCTAGTCCATAAGCATGGATGGCCTCATAGATTTTGCTCAGTTTGCACGTCATCATTCCTACTTCACTTTTAGTTTAAATATTCAAGATTTGCTCATCAGTTTCTGCACTAAATGTTAGCAGATTGGTGTTGATTGCTTAATTTGCTTAATTTATGGTATAAAATTAAATTTTTCAGGATGCATTTGGATTTAGAACTAAACTGAAGATTTTAATTCTATTACAGGTAGGTAGTTCAAGATGGTGTCCATCCAGAAACAATCTGTGGTCTGTGTCATGATGGCTTGGCAAGCACAGTGGTCCTCCTTGACCGTCGGGTGGATGGCCAGCAGCAAATCAGATCTCTCATGGAGGTCAGTGGTCCTAGTTGGGTACAGATCTGGAATAAATACTCATTGATAAATATGTAAAACAGTTTATAACTGATGTCACAGTACTAGACCTGCTGGTTGTGGTTAACACTTAATGGTTGAATAGGGGATTCATTGGGAGGTATAACTACAGTTGATCAGAATAGATTTCAAATAATTTTATCTCAGGCAAAATCAGAAAATGTTAGAACCTGATTCATGTTTTTTATGAAAAAGGCACATTTGATTGTAAGATAGGGGCTAAAAATGAAACCAAGATGCTAAAATGTTTCCTGTGTTCTACTCTGGTATTTCTATTATTGGTTCCTACACCTTTGATCTTGGATGTTATAGACTATAGAGCATTATTTCTTTGGAAAAAAAGAAGGCATGAATTCAAAAATTTTGATTGAACAATTGGGTAAACTTAATGTTGCAGGCAGGGAAGATAGCAGCTGCTGCTGGAGAAGCTAACTCTTTAGCCAACCTCCATCTTCATGACAATGGCTTTTTTGATCCATTGGATGATGCTGCATCAGGTATGATCTTAGTTGTTTAACCATAAGTAAAATTTGTCTCTTCTTTGTTAGCTTCCACCCTATCTGTCATAGATTTTGACTATTTGCAAAACTTTGCAATGCTAAAATTGTATGATGCTGAGGAAGGGTGATTGATATACTAGCAAACTATTTGGAAAAGTTCACTACAGTTCATAGGATTTTATGATATTGAGACACCTACCATTTTGAGACTTGACTGTAGGGATGAAACCTAAGCAATTGAATTGTTTGTTGTTTCATATTTGAGTGTAATGTTTCATGTTGATGTTGAGTGTAATGTTACACTTTTATGTGAGGTTTATGTTGAGTGTAATGTTACAAATTTATGTGAAGTTTATGTTGAGTGTAATGTTACTCATTTATTTCACATTTCTGAGCTATGGTTCATGTTTGTCTGTCATTACATCATTTGTGTCTGATTAACATGTTTGTGTTTGATATATAGGTACATGTGTGTAAAATAGTTCATGTTTTATGATATTTACACATTTGAGTGCAATTTACATCAACATGTATGTTAATGATGTTATTTACCTACATGTCCATGTATGATGATTCATGTTGGCTGTGCATGGAGTAAAGAGAAGCTGTACAAGGCACAGCACCCGCTGAGGGCGGCTGCTGTGATGTTAATGATGTTATATACATGTCTGTGTATGATGTTTCATGTTGGCTGAGCAGGGAGTAAAAGGCTTGATCATACTTATGGAAACTAAAGCCATGTGGACATTGCTACAGCAGTTACTGCCACTTCTCTTGAATATATGCCTCCATTTTGCAATGTTTTAGCTCAGAATTATGAAGTTCTGTCACTTAGATATTATTAAGACAAAGGAGTCATTTTCAACAATAACTACAGTTGAACAGAATAGATGTTAAATAATTTTATCTCAGATTCTCTGGCAAGATCAGGAAATTTTACAAACTGATTCATGTTTTTTGTGTAAAAAGTCACATGATTGTAATATGGGGGCTAAAAATCAAACTAAGGTTATCAATCTAGGATGTTATAGAGAAGCAATTCTTCTGAAAAAGAAGGCATAAATTTAAAAAATTTTGACTGAACAATTGGTTAAACTTAATGTTGCAGGCAGGGAAGATAGCAGCTGCTGCTGGAGAAGCTAACTCTTTAGCCAACCTCCATCTTCATGACAATGGCTTTTCTGATCCATTGGTTGATGCTGCATCAGGTATGATCTTAGTTGTTTAACCATAAGTAAAATTTGTCACTTCTTTGTTAGCTTCCACCCTATCTGTCATAGATTTTGACTATTTGCAAAACTTTGGAATGCTAAAATTTTATGATGCTGGGGAAGGGTGAGTGATATAACAAACCATTTTGAAAAGTTCACTACAGTTCATAGGATTTTATGATAATGAGACACATACCATTTTGAGACTTGACTGTAGGGATGAAACCTAAGCAATTGAAATGGTTGTTGTTTCATATTTGAGTGTGATGTTTCACGTTTATGTTGAGTGTAATGTTACACTTTTATGCAATGTTTATGTTAAGTGTAATATTACACGTTTATGTGAGGTTAATGTTGAGTGTAATGTCACACATTTAGCTCACATTTCTGAGCTATTGTTCATTTATGTCTGTCATTACATCATTTGTGTCTGATTTACTTGTTTGTGTTTGATTTATGCATTTGTGTGTGATCTAGTTCATGTTTTGTAATATTTACACATTTGAGTGCAATTTATATCAACATGTATGTTAATGATGCTATATACATGTCTGCATATGATGTTTCATGTTGGCTGTGCAGGGAGTAAGGAAGAGAAGCTGTATGAGGCCCAGCACCCACTGAGGGCGGCTGCTGTGGTGACGCGGCGATGTCGTGGAAGGCCAAAGAAAGGCCAGCAGGTGAGCCAATTGTGCTTAGAAGTTTTTAGCATTTTTTCTTTTAGAGTCTCAAGTAGAGCCTAACTCAGCTCTTTTCTTACTACCATATTTTCATTCATTCTATTTGGTATTTTTAAATAACGAATAAATTATGGAAAAAGGTTAATTTCTGCTCTGACTTGAGCTCAACTGAATTTTACCTTATTACTACCTCTTTTATAAATCATTCAGTTTGTACTTTATTATAACAAATGAAAGCTCAGCAGCCTTATATTTGACTGCTTAGTAATGCACTCATTGTATCATGTTAAGTAGACAATACCATGAATAGTTTGTTCAGCTGAAAGTAATTTCAGTACATTTGGTAAGTGGGGTAAATTCAATATGGAATTATTGCATATGATTGTAAATTAGGTATGAAAATTATTGTGAAAAATTGAAATTCAATATGGAAACTATCTCAAATTCTATTTGTAAATAGGATAAGTAGGGTGCAACAGTAACCAATAGTGAAGAATTCCTATAATTATCTCTTCAGTGAAGAATTCCTATAATTATCTCTTCAAACACTTCTCATGCTATAAAAAGATAATGATGCAAATTTTGGATAACCTGTGCAATTTTTTTGACCAATAGGTATCAAAATAAACAAAAATTTGAATATTTTCAATTTTCCTAATCCTAATAGAAGTCTAACTAGGATCTCTGATTATTTGTTACATTTTGCTCTCTCCACACATACATATTTTTTCTTGCATAACACTATTAATTTAACCATTTATCAGACATATAAACCATGTATGTTATGTAACTAAACATTTCTGCCCTTAATACCCCCCACCATAGTGACAATCCCCAGATTTTTTAGAATTGGTTTATTTTTTAAATGCTCATCTACTCAAGATTTAAGCCAATTTTTTACATATGATGCTGGTATCTATGATATTTTACTGGTGTACTTATAGGACTCAAAAATAAACTTGAGGAAGAGACCGAAGAGTCCAAAGAACTCTCTGCTTGGCCACTATGTCCCCACCTCCTGGACCTTGTTTGAGGTTACCTTATCAATCCTCTACAAATCATCTATCATCTGCCCAACATTCCACTTGTAGCATCACCTACCACTTACTATTATCAAGAATTTAAATATTATTATTCAAACTTGAGAGTTATTCAGACATCAAAATTTATACCCTATCTGCGTTTATTTTAACCATTAAAGTGGCAACATATCCTTCTCTTCAAATAACATATTAATTTGTTTATATTGAATCATTGACATTAAATTGATTCCTATTGTATTTTCATGTTTGATTTTACATGGCATCATGACTTTATATGATTGAATTCATTCAGAAAGTGAAGACGATCTCAGAGCCGAAGACTGAAGACGCAGCAGCAGAAGGCCGGCCTCGCCGCAAGACAACCCTGCCTTCCAGGTGAGTGCTAGCACCAAGTTGCTCTAGCATACGCTCTGGGCCAGGTTCTCACTCTAATCAGACACTCTAGGCTAGGTTCTCACTCTAATCAGGCACTCTAGGCCAGGTTCTCACTCTAATCAGGCACTCTAGGCCAGGTTCTCACTCTAAGCAGACACTCTAGGCCAGGTTCTCACTAATCAGACACTCTAGACTCTAGGCACACACTCTGGGCCAGGTTCTCACTCTGATCACACACTCTAGGCCAAGTACTCACTCAAATCAGGCACTCTAGGCCAGGTTCTCACTCTAATCAGGCACTCTAGGCCAGGTTCTCACTCTAATCAGGCACTCTAGGCCAGGTTCTCACTCCAAGCAGACATTCTAGGCCAGGTTCTCACTAATCAGACACTCTAGACCAGATTCTCACAAATCAGACACTCTAGGCCAGGTTCTCACTCTAATCAGACACTCTAGGCCAGGTCCTCACTCTAATCATACACTCTAGGCCAGGTTCTCACTAATCAGACACTCTAGACCAGATTCTCACTAATCAGAGACTCTAGACCAGATTCTCACTAATCAGACACTCTAGGCCAGGTTCTCACTCTAATCAGACACTCTAGGCCAGGTTCTCACTAATCAGACACTCTAAAAACTTTGCGCAAGCACGATTTTAGCACATGTCACTGAAAGTTCTATCAAACGCTTATGGCTACATCGATCTGTCTGATTTTTGGTGGAAAGATGGAGAAAAACATAGGGAACAAATCCTGATCTTCCAAATTTTTTTAACTCTATTACTTTTCGAGTTACAGCCATTCAAAGTTGGGTATCGTTTATTTTGGGACACCCTGTATAGTGTATGCGCCGGCCCATTTAATGCCTAGACGCATTTATGGCGAGATAAGGAACGAAATAAAAATGAAGTTTAATTGCATATCATGATGAGGTAAGAATTTAGAATTTACTTAGTGTAGAATACGCAGCGAAGTGGAGCTAAAATTTTCCTGGGTGTTGAATGTTCCAATTTTACTATCAAGCAGAAAAGTGGAAAGAGGCCCGTCACTGAAAGAGACCCGGTAAACAGGTATAATGAGCGTGGGTACAAAATATCACGTCTGGCAATGAGTTGGATGACCTAAGTAGTGCAAATCGGGACCTGACAATATCTAGGGCGTGTCACCGAAGATCCTATATGGACATCCACTGTCATTAGAAGCTTTCAACCTCCCTTCTTTTACGCCGAAGGCAGATTTTTAAGGTAAGAACTTAACATGATTTGAATAGTGATAATATAATGAATCTTTTCTAACCAAAAAATTCAAAATTTTCCGATATATTACAATTTATATAGCAAATTGAAGTTAAATTCATCAGTTAAAAATTAGTTTAAGTTTGCACTCGCCGCGCGATGACTGAAAGTTTATTAACGACCTCGAAATATCACGAATGTTTCTAGGGGATTCTTCAATTAAGTCAGGTAGTCATTTCCGGCTCTCCTGACTCATTATATTTCATTTCTAAGAAGGTAATGAGCACAAAGCACCAGCACCTCAGGCAGTCCTCTGTTCCAGTAGTACTCTGATGTTCAGCGCTGGTTCAATCCACTAAACATTGGAGGAAGCGAAGCACTTTGAAAACTTTTTCCCGAGTTCCAGTAACAGTCTAACTTCTGATCAGTTGCACTTATACAGCCTGCGGGTAATAACGCCATTAATAGTGAGATTCGTGATTTTCGCTCAGCATGGAACATGAGCGCACGAAAGTTTGCGAGTTTAATCTTTTTTAGGGCACAACTTGAAGAGCGCAAACCGATTATCTTTTTGGCAGAGCTTTGCAGGCAATTATTGGCCTATCAACCTTTGACCATTCAGTGGCCGCCTATAACACTCCTCGAACGACTCAATGTGATATGCCTCAGCTGGTGACCGCTACAGTTAATGATCGGTATAAAATAATAATAATAAGAATAAAAACAACAGTTCTGCGACTACTTCAGTGAGTTGATTCTAAGTGCACTTGAAAATAGGCGTGAATCACAGTGTCTTAATCGTGACTCATTTTCTTACCAAAAGTACGAACAACAGATAGCGGACATAGCACTGATACGCCCTTATGACGAGCCAATTTAAGTCGAGATGATCCGCAGCATTAGCACAGTGAATCGATATTTGGACAAAACCTCACTCATTTCTTTGAGTGCGGCGCTAAATTAGCCATCTTACATATCTTAGAGCTCAGAGCAGACTTAGCGCACTCCCAGCACACAAAATTCTGCATGAGTTTTGGGCCAAAATTTATTTATAAATTAAATTATTTACATTCAGGTTCCCAAAGTTCTTCAGATGACGTTGGTTGATCAAAATGCAGGTTTATGGAAGTAATTTTAATTTATCAACGACGTTTTGAATATAAAAATTATCTGGTCTACATTGGAGTAATTGCAGTCATTACTGCGACATTGGTCATAGGTTTATCCTGCCACATGAGACAAGCTCGCAACCAAACCAGTTCCCAAAGCATTACAAATTCGAGAAACTTCAACTCAAAATCCGCGATGAATTCAACAGAGAAGCGGGAGAAGCGGGAGGGCTTGGAGAGGATGGTGGAGCGTTTAAATAGCAAGAGACGTAAATACGCGGCGTTGGCAGCTCGGTATCGTTTCGAGTCAGTCGCATTAGAAACGACGGGCACATATGGTGAAACGACTGGTCCTTTAATATCACAGATTGGCCGTCGCATTACGGAATTGTCCGGCGAACGTAGAAAGACTCTATGGTTGGAGCAAAGGTTGGGTTTGGCCGTGCAGAGAGGCAATGCAGCTAGCATCCTAACAGCAGTCAGAGAAAAGTTCGACGTGGGTCCGCTCCTCGCTCTCGTCACAGCTCAGTGACCCTCGAAGTCGGTGTAGGCCACCATCAGAGGCGTTAAGGTCGGGGCCTTGATCATTGACATGAAACCATTCCCTGTTTTTAATTAATAAAATCAATTCTTTTTTTTTTGTTGGAATGGTGAGTGTGGGAGGCCTTTAAAAAAAATTCAACAGCTACAACAGGCTCCGTGACACTCTTGACAACGTCAAACTCAACGAGACCGTCGCTCCCACTGTGCTGGAGGAACCCACCAGCAGCGTCATCTTGCGGTGGCCCGACATAATCCGACCGACGATAGCTGAAGCCCTCATCTCTACGGATTGGACTCCAGCTCCTCGTCTCATAACCACCGGATTTTCTGAACCTTGAAATTGTTTCGGAGATATATTCACGGTTCAAAATTTTCGCGTTGAATCATATTTACGAGTATTATGTTCTTATTTCCGCGAAAATTTCTGTATACAATGCTTCCTATAACTTTAAAATGAATGTTGTTACATTCGAAACGTCGTTAATAAATTGAAATTACTCCTTAAACCTTCATTTCGTTCAACCAACGTCTTCTGAAGAATGATTCGACCCTGCGAAGAAAAATATTAAATTAATCACTTCTCTGGTCATTAAACGCCCTTGTTTAATTAAACAAGCTAATCCTGCTATCTAACAATAATATAAATTTTCAGCTACCTACGGCCTTACTCAGTCAAATCGCATCCTGTTTATAAGCCAGTACCATTTAATAAACCATGAATTAACGTCGTATGTATTGTGTGTTTATAAAACGTGGAACAAGGAAATGAAATTCTGCTCGTATTTTTCCCCTTTAAAATTAACCCTAAGCAAAAAATATAAAAAATCGTAAGAGTATTTCATTGTTTGTATAATTTGTTTTAAGGCCACAAATAAAACACACTCGCTGATTAGTAGTGTTATACGCCATATAAATTACAAGATTTTATCGCATTTTCCTCAATCACAAGCAATCGCAGTACCGGCATCAAACTCATGAAGTTCAAAAACTTTATTCCCTTTTACTTCACAATATGAGACATGAGACTGCTGCGTTCATTCTTTTTAAGTAAACGTTCAATATATAGTTATTATATGTAGTCGATAGAACTTAACGATACCTTCGTTAACTTCCAATGATCAATATGATAACTTTCAATGATCACTTTGTGGTTGTGTATTTCCAGTAAATTGTAACGATCGTTAAGCTTAAACGCATAATACTTGTTATATAAATAAGTGCTTGGATATTGTGTTGATGTTTGATTATATGTCTACTTTTACTGCATTCTGGCCTCAGGTAAGAGGCCTGCGAAGGATATCATTCAATATCATATTATGATTTACATATGAATGGTCATAATAACGATATTAAGCCATTGAAACCAATATGCCGGCAACGTTCGTTGCAGCTTCCGTTGTTAAGATACAATAAAAATTACCAAATTGCTGGTGCATGTAATGAGAGTTGCATTAGAAATATATTGATTATGTATAATTTACCTGGTTCTTAAAATGAGCATTTGAGCGTTTATTGTGTATGAGTATTGATGAAGTTTAAAAACTTTTCGCAAACGCGCAGTGAATAATCCTGTGGTTTATGTTGCATGAGGTAGATTCATAATTGGGAAATATCTACTTATATTGTAGGAAATATTGCACTCTAATGCGTAATTTCAATCAGAAGCTTTCATGCTAATAGGGCCAAAATCGTTTTGGTAATTTTGGATATTAAGCGGATCACAATAAGCGTTTACATAGCAAACTGTAAATAAAATACTTAAAAAAACTTTTTAAAAAACCACGTTTTTCTTGTGGACTAAAAAGTAGAAAATAAATTGTGGCTCGCCCCAAAAAACGTGTGTCGGGCAGATTTATGATTAAAGCAAAAAGCACACAACACACGAATTTTGGAAATTTGATGGTGAACGTACAGCCCGAAAAAACGTGTTAAAAATGCAACGCAGTACTCACTGCAGTGAGTGACAGAGAGCGCATTTTCTCGTCGACGAAAACTTGAGGTCACGGACGGACGGACAGACGGACAGACAGACGGACATGGCGAGCAAATTAGTGAATTTTTTTCCAGAAATGAGAAATGCGCTAAAAAGCGGAGTCTCTAAAAAATCTGACAAC